CCGTCTTACTGTCTAGGCATAGCAGGGCTGGTATTTTCTCATTTGTTTCCAGGCATCTCCCCACCAGGCTCCTGCAGGGAGACTCTGCTTGTCTTGCTCACTGCTGCATCCTCAGTGTTTGCACACAGTAGGTACTCAATAAATGTGTTTGTTGAATGACCAAATCTACACCCCCATCCACCATTTCGAGGGCTGTTGTGGGGGACTTGAGAAACTGTCTGGGAGGCTGTAAAAAATTCACTCATCCATCAAACAAGTACTGTCTGCTTCTTGATCAGGCCCCGTGATGATTGTTTGGGACACTTGGGTGGCAAGACAGACTGGGTCCCTGCTGTCATGGAACACGGAAAAATGCCAAGGCAGCATGTAAGAGGGACCCACCTAGCACAGGAGGCTTTTCAGGAGCTGGGCAGGGATGGGTTAGGGGTAGAAGGGCCTTTTGCTCTGAGAAACAGCAGGCACAATGGCCTTTAAGCCAAGGGGATTGCCTCGAAATAGTGGCTCTCCAGCAGTGGACATCTGGAAATGTCTGGAGATATTCTGGGCTCTCATAAGCGGTGTGGGGGTGTGCGTGGTGCTCCTGGTATCTAGTGGGTATGCTGCTGCTGACCACCCTGCCCTGCACAGAACAGCCCCCGCAGCAAAGAATGCTCCATCCTGTCACTAGTGCCCCAGCTGAGAAACTCTGGGTGGGATGTACCGCAGAAAAGCCAGTGTGGTTCGGACGCCGAAGTCGGCGCGGGTCAAGTGTGGAAAGGTATCTGGGGCGGCTGCGTCTTCCCCTGCAAGGAGCCTCGGGATCGCCGGAACTCTGGGCGGACCCTGCACAGCGGGCACCAGGTTCCCGCGGCGTCCGCACGAGCATGCGCGCGGCAGACTCCCCAGAACCCCGAGCACGTGGGACCTGGGGGCTGGGCAGGCAGCACTACAAGCCTCAGTTTCCCTGGTTGGCGGGGACCGCTCTGAACTGCGCTGCCCGGGAGGGGTCTTTCTTCCGATGAGAGGCAATCGACACTAATAAGGGGGAACGGCGACCACGCCTCTCCACCCTGTGGTCCCCACCTCGGGCCCACCCGGCCAGGGCAGCAAGGACGCGACATGACGGAGAACTACCACTCCCAGCATGCCCCGCGTCGCAGCGCCCGCGCGCGCCGAAGCCTCGGGCTGCCAGTGGGAGGGGGCCAGGGGTGGAGAATCGGCGCACGTGCGTCGCGACGCGCCAACGGCGACGTCGGGGTTTGTGTGCGCGAGAGGCCGCCGATAAAGGTTGGGTGCCTCGCGCCGGGGGCCGTTGGGAGGGACCGCGCCCCCGCCCCCCTCCCCGGCCCCCGCTCCTGCACCGCCGCTGCCGAGGCCCCCCTTTCCCGTCGGCCCCCGCGGGAAGGTCCTGGGGCTCCCCTCCTCGTTCCCCCGATCGGGGCCGCAGGTGAGAGACCGGAGGGGTGGGGGTGGGGGAGGGACCGGAGGGCGGAGACGTTTAGGAGCGTGAAACCGGAAGGGATGCCTTAAAGGGGAGGTAGCTATTTCACCTCCGACTTTTGTTCACAGGGCTGGCTCCGCCCTCTTAAAGATCAAGAGGCTGCATTTAGGAGGCGGGGCAGGCTTTGCTCCTGGTGCGGTTTTTTTCCTCCCCCCCCTTCCTTCCTAAAATGGGATTATCTTATTAAAGGCCAGTAGTAGTTTCTCAGACATTGAAGGAAAAACTCCTGAATCCTGGTTGTTTGAAAGCGATCCCTAGTTTAGCTCAAGGCAGGTGGAGCTTGGTCTGCAGTAGGAGCATTCTCTTAAAGGGGAAGTCCAGCCAGAGGGAAGGGTGTGGTCTGGCCTTTTAAAGGGGTGCTATTCGCCAAATGGGTCCCCGCTCTTCCAAAGCTCTGATGTCTTGTTTAAGGTGTCAACCCAAATAAATGACAGAGGGAAAAATCTCAATCAACGAAGGTTTATTAAGCCAAGATTTTGAGGTTGCGCCCAGGAAAAACAGGAACCACAGACAAGCTGGGCGGAGGGGAGGTTGGAACCTTCAGCATTTTAAAGGCATCCAGGGAGAAGGAAAAAGGCGAGGGGGCTGATGAAGTAGTGGCTACATTCTTGTGAGGCCCAAGAAATCTATATTTTACGTAACATAAGAGAATGAAGGAAGCATCAATTCTGTAGACGCCCATGGGTAGGTGGGAGAATGTCTGATTCTGTCTTGGCTCCAGTTCTGTTGCCTGTAAGATGTAATTCATTATCAGTGTGGAATCGAACAGGCTTTAGTTTCGGGTGCTAGACATAGGTATAATTTGCATGTCCTTGCTTATGAGAGGTTAGCAAGAAATTTCCTTAATGAATGATCTGTGGGGCCTGTTTCTCAAGTCCCCCACAACAGCCCTCGAAATGGTGGATGGGGGTGTAGATTTGGTCATTCAACAAACACATTTATTGAGTACCTTCACAGGTGCCCGAGGCCCTGACTTTCTCTTTTGCATAAGGAGGTAGCCCTGAGACTTTGATTTCTTTTTGCAAAAGTGATGGCGACCTTGAGTTTGAGGATGATGGGAGGCCAGTGAGGCCAGCAGGAGGACAAGTTATGGAGGGGACAAGGTGCAAGGCTGTGGGAAGTCACCAGGTTCGAAAATGGGAGTTGTGGAAGGCTTTTGAGCAGAGGAATGAAGTGCCCTGCCCTCTCTGTTCACTTTAGCTGCTGTGTTGGGAAGACTAGGGTGGGAAGGACAAGGGTGGAAACACAGAGATCTGTTAGGAGGCTGTTGCAGCCCAGGAGAGAGATGGTGGTGCCTGGGACAAAGGTGGGGGCCTTGTGGGAAGTGGCCAGATTCTGGATATGTTCCTGCTGGAACGGGAAATCTGCTGACAGATTGGTAACAGAGTAAGACAGGAGGCAGGGAGCACCGAGGCCCGTGGCCTGAGAAACAGAGCCACTCTTTTCAGAGATGGAGACAACTATAGGTGGAGGAGGGAGGGGGTGAGGAGGGTGAGGAGCAGGAGCAAAACACCAGAGTTAGGTTTTGGGCACGTTAGGTTTGAGGTGTCTGTGAGGCGTCCAAATGGCACAGCCAAGCAGGTGGTTAGGTGTTTAAAGGACAGGTCTCAGGCAGAGCTACACGTCTGGGGTCAGCCTGTTCATAGGGTATGAGATCCTGAGAGTGGGTGAGAGCTCCCAGGGAGAGAGTGTAGACAAAGAAGAGGACCAAGGTGATGCCGGGCTTTCTCAAAGGCACGAGTAGCTTCTTGGGATCGTGTCTCTTAAAAAGACATGTTTTAAAGGGGTCACTCATCTTTTTAAAAGGAAATTCTTGCAGCTTGTCCAGAGGGGATGCCCAGCTTTTGTTCATTCAAAATATGTTTACTGAGCACACACTGTGCCAGACATTATTGTAGGCTGGGATGGGGTACAACAGTAAACACAACAAAGCGCTCGTCTCCCACGTTCAGAGGTCAGGGAGATGAGAAGGAACCAGACGGCAGACTGAGAAAGGGTGGCAGTGGAGGAGGGGGACAAGGAGGTGGCCGAGGTATCCCGAGCCAAAGGGAGGTGGATTAAAAATAGTGACTAAGCGAGCCATTGTGAGTGCCCTGGAGGGGTGAGTGAAGTGGTTTGGGATGGAAAGGGCAGATTGACACTTCGGAGTTGCTTTGTTGGAAAGGACTGGAGAGAAACAAGTCTGTAGCTGGAGGGGGAAGTGGAGTGGAGAGTGGTGCTTTTAAAAAGATGGGAGACATAGCTGTGGGTATGCAGATAGGAATGGGCCAGGGAAAACTGAGGATGTGGGTGGGAAGACAATCCGTGGGCACAGGGCTAGGCAGGTGGGAAGGGACAGTGCAGGGTGTGTCAGCCTCGGCCTTGCTAACATCTTGGACTGGACCATTCTTTGTTGTGGGGGGCTGTCCTGTGCATTGTAGGGTATTCAGAAGCGTCCCTGGCCTCCACCCACCAGATGCCAATAGCACCTGCCCCTCTAGTTGACAATCAGACAACCAAGAATGTTTCCAGGCAATGCCAGGGAAGGAGGCACAGTCGCCCCAGTTGGGAACCACTGGTGTACTGGTTGGAACTTGAGAGCATTCTCTTCTGATTGCTTTTATTTTCTTAGTGACATGATCAATGGCAAGGTCATCTGCTAAGAACACAAAGGGAAAGGAGGAACTGGAGGTTTGAGGAGAAAAGAAACGTGCCAAGTAGTCACCTGGGGGAACATGAACCAGAGAAGTGCAGGAGTCACGCAGGGCCCCAGTGAGGGGCCTTTGGATTCCCGGGCGCGGATGGAAAGTGAGATGAGGCCAGGCAGGCTCAGGGGTGTGTGCGGCATGACTGTAACGGTTGCCCGCAGTGTTTATGCTGGGTAAGGTGAGGACATGGGTGGGCCCGACGGTGCCGAGCCCTCATGGATGGCAGATCTGGGGGAGCCTAGGAGATCTGGGGACTTGGGGCACCAAGGCTGTGTGGTGGTGAGGAGTGGGACGCTCCAGGCTCAGATCAGGAAGAGGCTTTCGAGTGGAAAGATCTAGCGTGTGGCAGTGGGAAGAGTGTTGAGGGGAGGGGACTGTGGTGGGGAGTATGGGATAAGGTCTTCCCAGGGACAGCCGCAAGGAATGAAGCCAGGGTGTCTCCTTCAAGGACACTGCCTGTCTTTAGAGGGAATGAGCATAGTTCTAAAGGATGTGCTTGGCCTCTTAAAGACCTTGCCCAGCCTTCTCAGACCTGCCCAGCCTCCTGGAGATGACCAGGAAGGTGACCTCCTAAGGATGACCAACTTGTCCCAGTTTGCTGGGAAGTTTCCATTTCAGCTGGGAAAGTCTCATCCCTGCTCAGTCCTGAGCAAACCTGGACCGTTGGACACTCTAATCCTAAGGGAGGTCCCCTGCAGAGTGGGTGACCTGGGGAGGTGGCCTCTGCCCCTTAAAGGGCCAGAGTGTGGGTTTGGGGTTGGGATGACTCAGTGTGTGGGCAAGGAGAGGGCGTGCCCGACTGCCCCTGACCCAGAATCCCCCCGCCAGGTGTGATGGTCGGCTCCCACGGGGACATGGCGCCTGCCTCCACTGCTGAGGGGGCCGGGGAGAAGCCCGGCCCCGCGGCCCCTGCCCCTGCGGCCCAGTATGAGTGCGGGGAGTGCGGCAAGTCATTCCGGTGGTCCTCCCGACTCCTGCATCACCAGCGCACGCACACAGGCGAGCGGCCCTACAAGTGCCCAGACTGCCCCAAGGCCTTCAAGGGCTCTTCGGCCCTGCTTTACCACCAGCGGGGCCACACGGGCGAGCGGCCCTACCAGTGCCCCGACTGCCCTAAGGCCTTCAAGCGCTCCTCTCTGCTGCAGATCCACCGCAGTGTGCACACGGGCCTGCGCGCCTTTATCTGCGGCCAGTGTGGCCTGGCCTTCAAGTGGTCGTCCCACTACCAGTACCACCTAAGGCAGCACACAGGCGAGCGGCCCTACCCGTGCCCGGACTGCCCCAAGGCCTTCAAGAACTCGTCCAGCCTCCGGCGCCACCGCCACGTGCACACGGGTGAGCGGCCCTATACCTGCGGCGTCTGCGGCAAGAGCTTCACGCAGAGCACCAACCTGCGGCAGCACCAGCGCGTGCACACGGGCGAGCGGCCCTTCCGCTGCCCGCTCTGCCCCAAGACCTTCACCCACTCCTCCAACCTGCTGCTGCACCAGCGCACCCACGGCGCTGCCCCCGCCCCGGGCCCCGCCCCC